TTAGGTAGTACAATTAGTTCTTCAGTTTGCTCTCATTCATCATACATGGTTATCCGTATATGTTGTGTAAATATTTGTAGAATTTGTGCTTTTCATTCCAGGATATATCATCCTTTCTCTTCCTGTAAGAACACGAGTTTTATATTGTCCCTTACAATTTTAGCAGTATTGGACCCTCATTAAGGAGTAGAATGCAGACACCTTATTGTGTTTCATAAACTGTCCTTTAAACATGTACGTTACTGTCATTTTAGAGGCAAAGCTGATACGCAAGTGGGGAGACCCATTTAAACTTTACACCATTTAGCTTTTGCTAGGTTTCAAGTAGATACTTGGCTATGTGAGTATTACCTAGAAGAATTATACTTATTTAAATTATGAAATATTGAAAGTCTTAGATGTCTGTGCTGGGATTAAAAACTGTAGCATCAACTGGTCCTAAGGAACAGCTAGCAATCTTTCCCAGGTATTTCAACATGTGCTTATGAAACTTGTAGTAGAACCGTGTGACTCTGAAATGATGAATCAGATCATTCAATCACAGAACTTTCACAGATATATTTGTCTGAAGACTCTGAAACTGACATAACGACATGGCATGGCATAACATAAATGCTGGGTGAATGACTCATGGTACACAATGAGTTAATAGCAATGTAAAATACAAAGATAAATTTATATTTGTCTATTTCAGTTTTCCCAACCATGTTTTTCTCTTCTAAACATCTTTATAGAATGAAGACAATGCACAAATTACAGTAAATGAATAATTTGAAATATTTGGGGCTGTAGATTTACAAAAAGCATATCTCCTTAGTTCCCCTGGTTTCCCCATCCCTATGACAGCTGACTAATTTGTTCAAGAAAGAAAGCACATGATGTCAATGGCCATTTTGATTTGGTCTTTAGATGAGATGGTAGTGCCTTGGTAGTTTAGTTGTCTTCTACACAATACAAGATATTAATTATTATAAACCTTAATAGAAGTGCATTCCTGATGAGAAATCTAGCTATATTATAAAACTATATCAGGCTTATCCCACCAACATGTCAAAGTACTGCCATATTGGTAGATCCTAAGTTGTCTTTAATTGCTGACCTTTAATAGTAAGTGGCTCCATGCAAACATAAGAAATTGAAAAAAATAAAATATAAAGCAATATATATTTTTTTCTGCTATATTAATTTATAGTATTCCTTAATGTTCATTAAGGGTATTTTTTTCTTTATAACCGAAAAACAATGTATAACGGATATTTTTTTTCTTCTTTATAACCGAAAAACAATGTATAACTTATCTGGTAGATAAGAATACTTTCATTAGTCCCTGTCCTTATCTTAAGTCTAGGCCAGTGATAGTAACCTTGACACCATAAATTGTTTCTGGACTACATTTCCCATGATGCTCAGCTACCTTTTAGACTCTAAAAGTTAGATGAACATCATGGGAAATGTATTCAGAGAAACAATTTATGGTGTCAAGGTTAGCCATCACTGGTCTAGGCCTTATGCCTATCCCACACATGCTTAAATTTTCTCACTGTGTTAACCTCTACCACTTCAGCTGGAAGGGTATTCCATGCATCCACTACCCTCTCAGTAAAGTAATACTTCCTAAAATTATTTTTACACCTTTGACCCTCTAATTTAAGACTATGTCCTCTTGTTGTGGTAGTTTTTTGTCATTTAAATATAGTCTCCTCCTTTACTATGTTGATTCCCTTTATGTATTTAAATGTTTTTTTATCATATCAACCCTGTCTTGTCTTTCCTCCAAGCTATACATGTTAAGATCCTTTAACCTTTACTGGTAAGTTTTATCCTGAAATCCATGAACTAGTTTAGTAGCCCTTCTCTAAACTCTTTCAAAAGTATCAATATCCTTTTGAAGATATGGTCTCCAGTACTATGTACAATACTCCAAGTGAGGTCTCAACAGTGTTCTGTACAATGGCATGAGCACTTCCCTCTTTCTACTGCTAATACCTCTCCCTATACAACCAAGCATTCTGCTAGCATTTCCTGCTGCTCTATTACATTGTCTTGCTACCTTTAAGTCATCTGAAATAATTACTACTAAATACCTTTACTCAGATGTTGAGGTTAGCACTGTATCTAATATTGTATACTATGCACTTGGGTTTTTTACTATTTTGGCCACTTCTGTGGAGTACCACAGTGGTTTCTTCATTTTTCTGCTCTTACTGACAAGCCTAATTGAATTTTCTGTTGCTTTACGTAGTGCAATTTTTAAATAATCCCATTTCTCTTGGACTCCATTTAAACTGTTTAATTCTGATAATGACTCCTTTACGCATATTCTAATTTTAGAAAAGTCTGTTTTTCTCAAATCTAAAACGTTTGTTTTTGTTTGGTGTGACTTACATTTCTTATGTTAAACCACACTGACTGGTGTTCACTGGATCCTAAACTTTCACCTACTGTAATATCTGATACTAAATCTCCATTTGTTAACTTGAACTAGCAAAAGACTAAAAAAATCTTTACCTATATAAATCTAACCAGTTATGAGTTGAGACAGACTACATTATCACCTTTATTGGCACCTACTCTTCTAGATTCTAATTAAAAATAGATTCTTTGCAAGTTAATGTAAATGAGTTTTCATGATACAAGCTATGTTAATATCAACTTTACTACTTCTGCTTGGCTTAAATTCTACATACAATAAAAAATAAAATTTTATATATATATATATATATATATATATAAACAACACATGTTGGTGCAGACGAATCCAGTAAAGAGCTATACTAAAGTATCCAAGATTGTTGGTCGCGGATGTGTACGCTGTCTTGGTTGTGTTACTTGTGGACATATGTTGCAGGCTAAAAAATTTTAACAATCCACATACTAACAAAAAGTATGAAATCAGACACACCATGACGTGTAAAACACCATTTGTTGTGTATAAGCTCACATGCCCATGTGGCCTCAACTATGTGGGTAAGACAGAGACTCCGTTATGCAAACGGATATTAATTTTATTATTGTACTTTCAATGTATAGTTGGTACATTTCTCACAATATGCACTTTATCCCTATATAGTTGCACCTTATAATATTTTCTTCATATGGATATTTAATATATGTTGGATTTTTTATGGGGCCCATGTATTCACATTATTCTTACAACATCACTCTAAATAGCTTCCTTGATGGATCTTTATATGCTATTTACCAGATTATGTTTGCATTAAGCACCTTAAATTCAAACTGGGTCACTAATAGTTAATACTGTATCTTTTATAAAAGTATCAAGATTCAGGCACTCTATATTTGCACTTTAGGTGTATTATTGGGTTTCATTGCATTTAGCACTTTATGTAGTACAGCTTCATTCAGTAATTTAAGCACAAATTATCACTTTAATACATAGTATATTTCGTTCACACTAACTAAGGGTGCGCATATATTGTTGTGTTAACTACACTTATTCACTTTATATACTATATTGAGCAATAATATTTTGCCATGTATTATCCTTTTTATTCATTCTTTTTACCTTAACAGTCATTTTGCACCAATCGGTCTTTTCCCGATCTGTGTGTTATTGTGCCGCCCGCAAAGCGTCTGCAGGTTACTATGACAACACGGCAATGTTGTTTAGTTGCCAGGGAGACGCGTGTTACGTCATTCCGCAGTGCCGTTTACATTGGTTGATTATGCACATGCCCACTGTGATCAGCAGGACGCCGATCGGGCGGGTGCAACAGCTGTGGTGAGTTTTTTCACTTACACTTTTTCACCTATCGTATATAAGTAAGTTCAGTTTGTGATTGTCATTTGTATGTAATTTTTTGATCCTGAGGAAAGCCCATTATGGGGCTGAAATGTCGATCTCTATCCTGATGAAAGTCTGTGAGTAACAGACTGAAACGTCGATTTTTTTTGTAAAGTTTATTAAAAGTAAAGTTTTATACTTTTTCAAAGTCCTGGGAGTGCTATCTGAAATTTCTTTTGCTATACCTCGCTTGATAAGCACCAGGCAAGTACAGTTTTATTATATGGAGTGCAAGATTATTTTTTCTTTATATATATATATATATATGTATTAAATTAACATATATTTAGGCACATCCTGTAAATTTATATATTTAAAAAAATCGATTTCCTTAATCATACATATATAAGAAGTAAAGCTTCAAGTAATTTTCTCCATATACATATAGAACATAATTTGTTTTCTCCCAATTTTAAAACCAAACATACATTTTTATTGTCTACTTAAAACAATAGATTTTAAAAAACAATCAACAAATCAATACTGACATGCTCTTAAAGCTCTAAGTTCTATATTTTTTATTGATAACTCTCCATTTTCCGTCTCACTTAAGCCTTGAGACAGCAATACATATTTCCAGGAATAAGGATTCTACTACATTACAATGGAAATTCAAACATCAATATTGGAAGCACAAGTATAAATCAATATATAAATATAATATATATCATGTAACATAATGCAAGTAAGTTAGACAAGTGTTCCATAGTAAAGAATTACATTGTGAGATATCTCTATTTAAAATATGGGGATTTAGTCACATCATATGGCCATGTTAGGTTTAATGCCACAACCTTTTCCATGGTATTCAAATATCAGTGGGTCCTAGCCTACATTTTTACATTTTAACTACTTGGGAAATATATACTGCAAACAGCTTCACTAACTTGCATCAGTGGATATCAGTCCTGAAAAGTCCCTATCTTTTGAGTATGAGAAAGATGTTTTTAAAACAGCCTTGGCTGCCATGCTGTGAGGAAGCACACGTGGCAGCTCCTCTGAACTGACCTGGTTTTCTTGACATTTTACTGAATATACGTGATTTCAAACCATTTATTCAGGCATCCCTGTTTTGGAACCTCTTGTCAACACAGTGATAACACTTCTGCAGCCCTGTCTAACATTTTTGCAGCACTGCACTGCTGGCGGCCTACTACTACTAGCTGACTTGGCACAGGAGGGACAGGCGCTCGTCATGCTCCGCAGACTAGAACAGATCTTTACTGCCCTTTTCAGCTGCTTCTCGCAGAGTGGAATGCAGCTCATATATCGCCCGCCATGCCGGAGTGACTCTGCAGCAGAATCTCCGGGGAAGATCCCACATTGCTCTTATGTGACGGAGGCACAGAGGCCTAAATTGCGACCATCACCCAGTTCTGGTCCACCTGCACTTCCAGACCTGACCTTACCTTCGAGCTCCAGGGATCTCTGGTCTGGGGCTACAGAGAGGCATTGCTCCGAGGTCTTGACAGTGGATGTGGCTGAAGTGCTACCTTTTCTAGCTTGCTGAGCAGGTGTTGATTTTACAAAGCTGAACTGCCGTAGAGTGGCAAATCACATGGTGGATGTGGGACTGTTGTTTGCCCAGAAAAGGGCAATAGGTTGCAATAGTCTATTGCTCATAAAGGGTTGTCATTGCTCTTTGTCTTATTTGAACCCATACTCCCGGTATTCTCTGCTGTGTTTCCATTGGCTATGCTTATCACTTCATATCTTATTACCACTTAACGTTGCTAGTCTGTTATTATTATTTTCTCTAACTCTTATATCTACCTTCTTTGCATGTTATCAAAAAACAAAAAACAGTGCAGTATCTTTGTAGGCGTGTATGTTTTTTTCTTTTCACTGCAAAAATAAAGAATAAAATAAATAGCCTTGAAAAATAATTTGTGTGTCTACGTAGAGCCATTTTGATGTTTTATGTATAAACTTTTGACATTTTAGGTTCTAACAGGAACACAATGACATATACGATAACATGTTTTGATATATGTATATTTATAGTTGGTCATGATTTTGGATGCTGTCCCACTTTAGGTCCCTGGTGTCAAACATCTGGAGACATCAGGGGACTGTCACTGAGCAGCGCTGCTCGAAGTCATCATCGAGGCACTAGGACCATGCAAGGGGTGCTTCCACAATGAATATTATTTCGCTGCTTCCCCACTGTTTATGTATACTTCAATACACCCCCCAAAAAATCAACAAAATATGTCTAATTAGTGGAGTGCTTAAGCTAAACACCTTTCTAGAGTATTGCTAAAGTGCTTCAATTATACAATAATGTGCTACATGTAATCAATAATTATTACAAATGCACTCAACCTCTGTGCATAAACCACAACAGACTCTTGTGCTAACCTTAACATACAAAGTATAATTTGAAAGAGCAAGTGCCTAACTTAATTTTGCCCAATAGGGATATGCATGCGGGAAAAAATTTGTTTCGATTCTGCATTCCGAAATTCGGGACTCCGGCACTTCGGGACTTCGATACTTTGGCACTTCAGTTCGGTTTGGCACTTCGGAACTTTGACACTTCGGAACTTCGGTGCTTCGGCACTTAGGAACTTCGGCAACTTCGGAACTTTGGACCTTCGGCACTTCGGAATTTCGGAACTTTGGAACATCGGAATTTCGGGACTTCGGATGTTCTCTTGCAGCCGCTTAGTAGATAACTCCCTAATTTCCATGGTATTAGGGAGCTATCTACCAAAAGGTTGAAAGACCTAAATTGGTCTTTCAGCCAAATTTACTAATACTAAGTAACAATTACTTAGTATTAGTAAATTATGCCCCTACTCGTTATACCACGAATAGGGGCATGTCTAGTAAACAGTGAGCAGCCTGTGGCTGCTCACTGTTAAAAAAAAAAACGGACCCCCTCCCGAGCCCTCCACCTGTGCCGCGCGAGTGGGGGCTTTTAAACTGAAGGGGGGACCTATTGCCCCCCGGCCCCCACCACTGAGCAGTGGGTGGGGGCCCTAAATTACTTCAAAGGGGGGACCTATTATGGGTGGGGGCCCTAAAATACTTCAAATGGGGGGACCTATTGTCTTCCCCCCTGGCCCCCACCCCTGAGCAGTGGGTGGGGGCCATAAACTAAAATAAAAGGGGGGGAACCTATTGTCCTCCCCTCTGGCCCCCACCCCTGAGCAGTGGGTGGGGGCCCTAAATTACTTGAAAGGGGGGGACATATTGTCCTCCCCCCTGGCCCCCACCCCTGAGCGGCGGGTGGGGGCCCTAAATAAAAATGCCCCACCCAGATGACTAGGGGTCCCCAATGCCCTAGTCACCCCCTCCCAAAACAATTATTCAAATCCCTACCTACCCCACTCACCCTAAAAATAGTGAGGGGGAACAATAATTAAGTACCTGTAAAAAAAAGCCAATCAAAGGGCTCTTGAAATCCAGCCAATCAAAGGGCCAATCAAAGGGCTCTGTGTCATTTTACACAACGTGGGAAAGTTCTTTGGAATTTTCCCACGCTGTGTAATTTGACTAATAACAACACTCTGATTGGTTCATTGAAAGTAACCAATCAGAGAGTTATGATTCAAATTACACAGTGTGGGAAAATTCCAAAGAACTTTCCCATGCCAGGCTTCTCACTGTTTACTAGACATGCCCCTGCTTGCGGTATAGCGAGTAGGGGCATAATTTACTAATACTAAGTAATCTTTACTTAGTATTAGTAAATTTGGCTGAAAGACCAATTTAGGTCTTTCAGGCTTTTAGTAGATAGCTTCCTAATACCGTGGGAATTAGGGAGTTATCTACTTATTCATTCCTGTCATTCCTTTGACTGGCTAAGTAACTTACATTTTATATGAATGTATGTTACTTAATTGTTGTAAGTGTTGCAAATGCTTACAGCTGAATCCTGGCTATGTTTGTATACTTTTTATTTAAACTTGTATACAGTGTAACATTCTTCAATCTTCCACTGGGTAGGTATATTAGTACTTCGGCAATACTGTGCTTCGGGACTTCGGCACTTCGACACTTTGGAACTTCGGCAATGTCAGAACTTCGGCACTTCGAAACTTTGACACTTCGGAGATTCAGCAATTTCGGAATGAACTATGCAATTAAATTACAATGTTAATAATTAAAACAAAAAAAATAAAATTGGGAGGGGGGTTAAAGGAAGTTAAATAAAGGAAAAAAGGTGGAGGAGAGTGCATCTATACAAAATAGTTTTTTTTATCTGTGATCTGGTGTTTCCCTATATTCTCCTGTAAACAAGACATCACTGGTAGTTATTATGGTGCTAGGAAGCATATCATACAAACTTACCATTTGCATTTTCTTAAATTCCTCTTAAATTTGCAGTAGCAGAATGACACCTCCTTCAAATGCAGTATTTTGGGGAAGCATAGCTTTGAGGAACTGACTATCAGCCAGTATTTTGGGGTATTTTGTAGAATGAAATCTAGTTCATAAAGCATTAATTATATTCATGCTATGATTACCACCCTGTAGAGGAATAGATTTAATTGGCCAGTGCAGCATGTGACCCAGCCTCTTTAAATAAGCTGGGGTCACGTAACGGCACACGTCACATGAGCTGTTATTAGTGTAGGGAGAGGATGCTGCAGCTGTGAGGGACGGATTAAGAAATAATTCTGGTGTTGAATCTGCAAACTACAGTGATTATTTTTGTGGGTGCTATACTACATTTTTGTACCCTGCCCTGAGCCCAGTGCCACAGAGAGTGCAGTGCACTTGCAACTGCATGTGTGCCAGGCACATTACTTTAATCCTGTTCTGGTAGCTCAGTGGGCAACATCAAGGCATTTTTAAATAATGCAATTTTTTTGGGTGCTAAATAGTACATTTGCATACTGCATTTCTTGCAGTCTAATAAAACCCTTAAATACTACTGTTACATTGTTGGTTTAAAAAAATCACACTTTTTTGTGCTAAATAGTACATTTGCGGCTTGCGGTGCACTTCATATCTGAGAGTCAAATAGAACCGTCAAATACTGTGGTTACATTGCAGTTTTAAAAATTCAAATTTTTTGGTGCTAAATAGTACATTTGGGGTGTGCACGTCATATCTGAGAGTCAAATAGAACCGTCAAATACCGTGGTTACAGCGCAGTTTTAAAAATTCAAATTTTCTGGGTGCTAAATAGTACATTTGGGGGGTGCAACACTGGCTAGTTACCAAGAAAGTCTAAAGACAAATAAATGCTGCCTATGGTGCAGGTAGTGTAGAAGGCAAGACTGAGACCAATCATTCAGGTTATGTTTGCGTGTTGACATGTTAATTATCTTAGACCATTAAAATTCAATAATCAATGAAAAAACACACTAAGTGCCATACAAAAATATGTATTATAGACAAGTTAAAAACAAGACTACAAATCATGCTATAACAAAATTAAACAAGTTTTAAAATATGTATGGGCCAACCAGTGGCTGTAAAAACAAAGTTTTACTGGCTACATTCATGACTACACACTCTAGTGAACAGGACCTTCATGTAGTGTGTGTGTGTGTTTTTTTTTAAATCATACAGCATTCTTTCATGTGCTTTTCAGATGTCATATTGTTAATTACCAATTTTTGTTTAGCCTGATTTTTTTTTTTTTTAAATAAGTGTTATTGTGATCGCTTCATATACAGAAGCATTAATATACATTTCTATATTGTGTAAAGACACAACTACAAAGTTAAAAACCAAACAGCAAAACAACGTGCCAGACAATCTACCTGTACATGGCTAGTGTGATACAATAAGTATACATCTTAAAAATGCAATAACCCACAGAAGATGGGTGAGAATTTCTTTTTGCAAATGGGTGCAAAAGCGGAGCGGCCGTCCCCTAGCGCTCGTCAATATGTATTAGCTCTAAAATTACCACATTTATCCAAGTAACAGATGGAGCGATCAAAGGAATCATAACTGATTTAATGAGCCATTTGCAGTTTCACTGTAGCGGCTGTGCGCAGCTGCAGTGGAGTAAGCACCTCAAAAACCAAGAAAGGTCTCAGGCTCCTCCTGCTTCCTCTTCTGCTGGTGTCTCGGCCTCTTTCTCCACCTCTGGAGTGACAGTGGCACCTGCCAGTCCCAAAACAGAGGATGTGGCAGCAACGCCACCATGTCCGCCACCGTCCCCAAGCATCGCCACACTGTCCCATGGAAGCGTTCAGCTGTCCATCTCCCAAACACTGGAGAGAAAGAGAAAGTATTGGCCTTCCCACCCGGGATCCCTGGCCCTGAATGCCAGCATTTCAAAATTCCTGGCCTTTGAAATGCTGTCATTCCGTCTGGTGGAGATGGACAGTTTTAAAAACCTGATGGCGTTATTGGACTCAAGCTGTGGAAAGGTAGGAAGCTGAGCCTCCTCATTTGCATGCCTTTTATTGTGTGTTCTGCATTGTGGGTTGGTTTCCATGCCAGCTCATTTTGACTTTTTTCTGACCTCCAGAATGGATTCATTGGTTTTCAATGCATTCCTATGGGAAACCGCGCTTCAGTTTACAAATTTTTCGCAAT